TTTGTTCTTCCTCTTTTGCTATCTGTCATTCGCTGAGTTACCACCTTTTCCAACTGAGCAAGAGTAACTCACCACCCGTTCATTACTGCACGAAAACTGACTTGAGCAATTCAACTGCAACTCGATTCACAGCTGATTTTCATTCGCAACGAGTGCATCTGAACGATACGAACGATTCATAAGCTACGATTCGCGGTTCAATACGAAAAGAGTTGTTTTGTTGTGGTCCTAAAAAGAGTTTTTCGCATGGAAAGGTACATTTAGCTGAAGACGAATGACGGGAAGTATTCTGTAAGTGAATCTTTTTTTTTCAAGGATTGATATTTTGTTCTTTTGTTGTGTAGATCCGCGTCACCGGCTGGGCAGTATTCCAACAACAACAAGCTATAGGTGCCTTCTCGTTGAAAGTGTAAGATCGCAAAAGAAGAAAACGTCAAAGTAGCTCAAAACATCCTGTTTGGTATAACAGTCGAATTATAAACTTAAAAAATCGAAAGCAAAAGGCACATAAGGCTTATAAAAAGCAAGGCACCAATGAAAGTTTGGCAAACTATTTGCGTATTTGCGATGAATTAAATATGACAATTGATATTGCATTTGAGGAGTACAATTCAAGAACCGAACTCGAAATAAAATCTAGTCCAAAAAAATTCTTCAATTACGTTAAAACTAAATTAAAATCAGACAATTTTCCATCAAAAATGCATTTTAATGAAACGGTTGGTGACAACGCAGCCGATATCTGCAATCTATTTCCTACTTCCTTCCAAGAAATTTACACCTCTTTTTCAGAAGATGATCGTGATCTTGATTATTTTGAATTCATCCCAGAATGTATTAGTGATATACAAGTTAATCAAGTTAATGTGCAGGATATTATGGCAACTTTGAACAATTTGGATGCTTCCAAAGGCTCTGGACCAGACGGAATTCCACCAGTATTTATGAAGAGCCTGGCACTGGAACTAACAGCTCCATTATTCTGGCTTTTCAATATGTCACTAGATTCTAGAATCTTCCCAAAAAACATGGAAAAGCTCTTTTCTAGTGCCTGTTTTCAAAAGTGGCAAAAAATCTGACATACAAAATTACCGAGGAATTGCTATTATTTCCTGTATCCCAAAGCTTTTCGAAGCGATCGTCAATGAAAAACTATTCAATCAGATCAAAAACAGAATCACTAACATGCAACATGGTTTCTTCAAAGGACGATCAATTAATACAAATTTACTTGAATTCGTTAACTATTCTTTGGTTGCAAAGGATAATGGAAACCATGTAGAAGCACTCTATACCGATTTTAGCAAAGCATTTGATCGTATTGATATACCCATGCTTCTTTTCAAATTACAAAAAAATAGGAATTGAACCTGGACTTCTCATATTAGTCATATTTAACTAATCGCCAACAAATAGTTAGATTCAAAGGTGAAAAATCAAACCCTATTACTGTTACTTCTGGAGTCCCCCAAGGCTCGCATCTGGGCCCTCTTTTGTTTATTTTATTTGTAAACGACATCTCCTTTATTCTTAAAAACATAGAAGTTTTAATCTATGCGGATGACATGAAGCTCTTTCTAGAAATAAGGAATAAAGAAGATATACAGACATACCAGATTGAAATAAACTTATTCTATGTTTGGTGTGACAAAAGCCTCCTGCAACTAAACCTTCAAAAATGTAAATCAATAGCTATTAGTAGAAAAAGAAACAAACCAGAAAATACAATTGTATTAGGAAATCAGGCAGTAGAAAAGTGTGAACGAGTTAGGGATTTAGCAAATAATATGCTTGGCTTTATCAAACGATTCAGTTACAATTTTCATGACCCGTATACAATAAAATCACTGTACATTTCATATGTAAGATCAATACTTGAATATTGCAGCATAGTTTGGTCACCTTTTTCATTCACGCATGAGGAACGATTAGAATCAGTGCAAAAGCAATTCTTACTATTTGCTCTTCGTAAATTAGGTTGGACAAGATTTCCTCTTCCATCTTATGAAGCACGCTGCATGCTCATCAACATTCCAACATTGAAAGCGCGTCGTGAATTTGCAATGGTTTCGTTTGTGAACGATATAGTATCGTATCGAATTGACTCAGTAGAACTGTTATCAAAGCTTAATTTTTACATACCTTCTCGGTAACTGCGAACTCGAAATATATTTACTACAAATCACTATCGCACAAATTATGCCAAATTTGGTCCACTAAATCAAATTATGACTGCTTACAATAAACATAGTGAAGCTATTGATTTTATAATGACAAAAACCAGATTAAAGCAGTACTTTAATTCTATTCGTAATTTTAACACATGACTTGTTACTTGTAAAAAATGGTCTACATATGATTGACGATAAAATAAATAAAAATAAATGATAAATCAGCATTAAGTTTGGAACAGTTCAACTTGTAGGGAAGGGTCGAAAACCAGTGTTAGGCCAACAATTACTACATTACTACATACTCTAAACTTGAAGGCCTTGGTAAACGACTGGATAATGCATATAATAAATTGATTTTACGCGTTTCGGTCGTTGAGGAGATCATTTATCATCTTTTGGTAAAATTTAACTATTTGTACTATTTGTAAAAAATAGCTCATAAAATAAAGTAAGATAAGTGGCATCGTGACGCGGGAACGGTCTTTGTTTGGGCACCCTAGTGTTCCAATACTTTTCTAGGGGCTTTCTTATTTAGGAGGTTAAAAGCCGTGTAGGTTCTTCGAGGATATCCACCGGATCCACCTTAAAGTTCCCTGGACCTTTTCTTGGGGTCCGTAACATAGAATATCAGTGAATTAAAACCCAAATCTGCAGGGCATTATTTTGTTACAAAAGACACGGAGCCATTCATTACCTAACATTCCTCAAGCTTTTTGTCGCAAGGGGCTTCAAAAAATGTGCGGCTCGTGCAAAATTTTAAACTTATTTATTAAAGACATGTTTCAACAGGAAAATAGGGATAAATTTTACATGGCATTTATGCAACTACATACACTATTTACTATATTTACCAAGATGAAAAATCTGAATATTTCCGTCATCATGCGCTAGAGTTAAGTTGATTCCAAATATTGATTTCCCTTGACGCGTAGCTGAATCAACTTTCAGACATACGAGTTTGTTCCGGAACAGATCGGACATGAGTTTCCGCATTATTTCAGCAGCACGAACTAAGTAAGTCGGTAACGTATTCCTTGTAGTGGTAAGACCGCAAGCCTTCCATGAGGGACCCGCGAGCATCTGCATACCCTGCCACTGGGGAAACCTGATTGGTAGGTTATGTTCCGTAGCTAGCTGAAGCGTTCCAAGAAGCACTTGTCTTCGATCAGTTTCTGCGGTAATTTTGGACGACTACGACGGGCGAGGACGCTTTGCCGTACTTTGCTCGCCTCCATTGCCTTCCACTATCAAATCCAACCTTTCTGGCACGAGATGAGATGACGCTTGAAGTTCCCCGGAACAAAATTAACCTGCTCGTAGCTACACTGCCGCTCAGCATGAACGTCGGCCAGACACCGATATTTGGTCAATCCTTCCGCATTAGTTTTTACCTCCACCACGTCCCTTAATTTTTGTTTCAAAGCACCTCGGTTCATTGCGATTTTTATTTTCCGCGTCGAGTACTAACTACAATGGTCCGTTATCGGCGCGAACGAATAATGCGAATGATACAAATGCAAATGAAACGAATGATACGAGCGATACGAACGATACGAACGGTAACGAATGAAACTTCTTCTTCGACTTTTCATGAGTGGGCCAAATCGAGTCTGAAATGGAGATAGCACAAACAGCACGAAAATTTCTCTCGCCCAGGTCACTCACCGAGACGCATCGCATTGACAGCGTTTGATTCATTCGAGAGTACATGCTTTGTTGCATCTGTTTTGACTACTTCTGGGAACATTGAACGAATTTGAGTGGTACGAAGCGATAATCAGCAACCCTGATATCCTTTATGTTGTTTGGTCATGTACCTTACACCGTGTTGCCAGATCTGAGTTATCCAAATCACTCAAGGCCCGAGGAAAACAGCCCGCGATACCCGTTAGAGATGTCTTGGTGAGCCGAGATCTCGACTATTTGAATTTAGTTTATGTGTTTTTAAAACGGATAGATCTGACGATTTAGTAGTTAGTGGAATCTTGTGTTCTCCCAAGTTGTTAGCTCCCCATTGGTCTGTCTTTTTCATTAGTATGTCGCTTAGCTCAAGATCAAGAGCACATTGCTCTCTAAACCTTGAGTTCTCAATTCCTACCCTGCCATCCATTTGTTACAATTTGTTACCCCTAACCTTGAGATTGTCGCGAGTAATCGGCCCCGCTTTACTAACGTTAGTTTTAAGTAATTTTGTGATCTAAGCAATGAATATCGGCTCCGCAAAGCTACGGCAAATGAGCCTGGAAAAATAAACGCATTAAAAAAATCTGTATTTTTTGGAAAATTTCTTGTAGTTTGAAAATGTTAATGAATACATAACATATAAAATAACTTTTACCGGTTTGAAGATTGAATTGGTATAAAAATTAACCGGTTCACTAAATCGCATTCTTTTAGTACTACACATAACCATAAATAGAAAGTAGTCTACTTAAACGGTTTTAGCTATGCACATTATGCGATTGGTTCTTTCTTAGGCTCATATAGTCGCATGATATGGAGGCTTCTAAAAACAAATGATTTAGAATTTCTCATGCCATGCTTTTCAAACTGTTCTTATATTAATTTCCACCCGTGTACAAACAATGGATTCTGATACTTTATCATTATATCGAATCTTAAGAGAAGAATAGCTTTTCATTACTGTAACGCTCTACATTGCAAATGGTACCGAGGGTGGCACATCATGCACAATCCATACGTTCTGTCTACCCATTGGTTATCAATATTGTCACCGAACCACATCGGCTGTGCCAAAACTGCAATCAAAGTGCATTTTGCGTCCATCTCTCGCCCGTGTCGTGCTGTATCATTAAGGGCCCAACCGACTGGGGCAAATGTCTAGATGGAACCGGGTTACCCGGTTCTTGATTCCCGATGACAACCGTAATCACCTGATCAAGTGCACTCGGATGCAACGAATCGAACAACTGCTGCGCTCGTTGTGTGTGGTCAATATAAAACGATCCAGTTCTGCGGTCTTTGTGATCAGTTTAGATCGGAACGGTGATGATGAGTGTTTATTGAACATCAAGATGAGAGAAAGTCGACTAATTCTGGTGCTGTTGCTATTTCCATTCGGATGTTTGGTGCTGGGAGGATCTGTCCTGAGGGGCACTTTGAAGCAACTAGCTTGGGAGGCCAAGGATTTGTTTAAGATTTGTGCGTCGAAAAATGACTCCCGGTGGCAGTGTTTGAGGGAGGAAAGTCTAGCGGCGATGGACGAGTTTGCTGGCAGTGAGATGATACCTTTGGTAGAAGGTATTAGCTTAGTACGTGTGAAAAATGGCATTGGAAAGTGAGTGACGTTTATTTTTGATGGACTGGCAGTGTGAAGGTGATTTATGATGAATCTTGTTCGTTTCGTTTAGAACGGTGAAGTCGGCTCAGGATTCACTGAACAACCCGGAGACCATCGGTAATCTGCGTGCATCTAATCGTGAGGGGAACCGGGATGGAAGTCAAGAGCATCCAGTGAATGAGAGTAAACCGTGGACCTCACGCGTTTTGGCGGCTTTGGATCACATGTTTCAAACGCACGTTCTGCAGATTGATTTATTCAATTCTGTTGGTGGAGGAAAGTATTGGATGAATAAAAAGGAAGCCAACTGGCTGTGGAAATATCATCGGAAATTAAGTAATCAGTCTGCAGTTGAAGGTGAGTGAATTTTGCTACAGATACGTGAGTAAGATTACATCAAAAACGAAGTAAAGTTTTTGAAATTTTGATCTATGAACGTAAGTTTGCTGCGCTAAAACGAGATTTAAAATTGACATTTGCTTTTTTATTTGGTGTCAATAGTGCCGAATATGGAAATCTGTGTAAAGCGCCATAGCTTTTCAAAACCAAATATTTCATGACAGCTTAATTGTGCATCATGGTGACATTTGGTTGCTACTGCTCTAAACTCCTACGTAATAGGAAAGGCCGATAAGAATTGTGTTGTACAGTTAATAACAAAATATTGATTTATCCATCAGAGATCTGGCTTTCAATCGGATGTTTCTAAGAATCTGTATGCTTTAGAATAAAACGTTATCAGAAGATAATGTTATGTATTTATTGTAATTTACAGGTACAATATGGGTTTTACGATTTTTATTCCTCTCGAATGAAAATTTGAACTTAAGGTTTGATACGTGCCATCAACTTCTGAACAAGCTGCTGGTCATCCTTACCGGCGTTTTTTTTTCAGTATCTGGCCATTGAAATAGCATCCTTAGCCGTTTTTTCCACTTTTCTTCAGTTTAGCTTTGATGATACACCAATAAATTTCGATTTGGTTCGCTACTCCATTATCGCAATACCACTGTTGCACATTCTTACTGTAGTGGAAACTCGCCAAATCTCTGATCATTAGCTTACATGCAAACGCAAAAACAAATTTATATTTCTTGGGAACATCTCCGCGACCTCTGGCAACATACAACTTCTGTCCCGGAAGCTGTTTGAAGTCTAATTTGACATACGTTTCATCGTTCATAAGGATGCATCCGTCGAATTTGATCAGCACCAGGTCATAAAGCTTTTTCCCGAGCAGGAGAAATAACTAATGAATACCTTATTCTGATCTGATAACAAAATTTGGTGTTGATAAGCATGACAAGAGGTAAAATACCAAAGAATAAAACCAAAAAAATACATGCACAATCAAGGGGTAAGTCACTCAGTACATTGTGGTGAAAATATATTCGGCACAGCTTAGGCACATCCATCGGCACATTTTCATCATACCTTCGGCACAATCTGGTAGGAATTGAATTGTTGTAAATAAAATGGGAGCACTGTCTTTGAAGTTGTTCAGAACATTACGTGCTGTTTGAGTGTATGTTTAGGAACATCTTCTAATTGAATATACCAGAGGAACTCAGACCAGCAGTTCACTGATAGATCTTAATACGAAATGTAGGTTCAAGAGAAAGAAGCAGTTATCTGACCTCATTAGTAAACTGCAACTCACACAAAACAAACTAAAGAAGTCTATTCATCACTTTCTATAGTCGGTCTCTAACAATGCTCCCCACCGGTTCCAACTCTTTCCGGCTGAAAGGCTAGGTTTCTGGTCTGTCTTTGAGGGCATTATAAAACACAAAAACACTGGACTTTTATTACCCTATGGATCACAAAACACCAAAATTTCACACTTCCACCACTTCCCGCGTCATCCTCAATACGATTTATCCTTGCGATTTCAAACCAAAATATTCAAGGTGTCAGAAATACCGGGTTATCGGGATGGGTGTTTTACAAACAATCGCAGCTTGCTCTATGACCGGCACAATCGGCACACTGACAAAAAAGATGACCCAAGATTGGTGTGCGGAGTGACCTATCCCTTGTGCAAAATGCTTTGTAAATAACAAAAATGATATTTGGATACCACTGGTATTATGTGTGGTATTGTTTCGGTATTGAAATTGCATAATTTAGTATTGGAATGGAATTGTGGGAACATCTTTGTTGGTCTAATTTTTTGGTATTTTACCTCATCCATATCAATTTAAGGTATCGAGATATTCGTTCCTGCTCAGGTTGGGCCCGCGTTAGGGCCGTAATGTTTTGCTTTACGGTCCGGTTCGGATTCTTAATAGTCGTATATTCCGAACTGTACTGCGAACAGCACCGAGATTTTTTGGCCACTTCCGCGTCTGCAATTCTTGGATTCGCTTTGAAAGCCTTCATGACGTTCTGACGCAGTTTCCGGTCTACTTTACCGCTTCAACGCATTGATTGCGCCCTCCGGGATACAGTCAAACGTCTCTTTAAACGTTTCAGCACTGCACAGACGGTGGTTTTGACCATTTCCAACTTCTTTGCGATCCTCGTACACTGAAATCTATGTTTTCAGAGCAGGAGAAAGTAACTAATGAGTACCTAATTCTGACCTGATACCAAAATTTGGTATAGACCAGCATGACATAAGAGGTAAAAAATACCAAAGAATAATACCAAAAAATTGCATGCAAAACTTTGTAAATAACAAAAATATATATTTGGATACCAAAAGAATAGCTGTGTGGTATTGCTTCGGTATAAATATAATAATTAAGTATTAGAAGGGTATTGTGGGAACATTTTTTTGGTATTTTACCTCTGTCAGCCCACAAAATGGTGAGTTGACAACCTGGAAGGAGCGGAATACCTAGCCCTGGTCCTCACAAGTTCCTTTTTCACACCTCCCCGAGTGATATGATAACAAAAGACTACCGACTGGGTGGCGTAGCCTTGGCAATGTTGCCAGTTCGGCAATAGCAAAGTGAAGAGGTGCGACGCGAACACTGGCGCGGTAACCATAGAACGGTGACAGAAGAAACGCTTCAGCCAACCCGAGCGTTTGTTCACCATGGAGGTGTGGCTCAAAACAGCGTCTGTTCTCCATGTTAGGAGCGGCTGATCATCGTCCTAGTGCCAGCGTGGAACTCTAAACAAAGCTGTGCACGATGGTCCCTGGCAAGACAAGCCGCCCTGGAAAAAAAATGTTGTAAATACTGAAGAAAGAAATACGGATCGGAACAATCGGCACAGACCTACGCGACGAAATAAGGACTACGATTGGAAACTCGGAACATGGAACTGCAAATCGCTCGGCTTCCCGGGCTACGATAGGTTAATCTATGAGGAACTTCAACCACGCAACTTCGAAGTCGTAGCACTGCAGGAACTTTGCTGGACGGGACAAAAGGTATGGAAAAGCGGGCATCGAACAGCTACTTTCTACCAGAGCTGTGGCACCACCAACGAGCTGGGAACCGGCTTTGTAGTGCTGGGTAAGATGCGCCAACGCGTGATTGGTTGGCAGCCGATCAACGCGGGGATGTACAAGTTGAGGATTAAGGGCCGTTTCTTCAACTACAGCATCATCAACGTGCACTGCCCACACGAAAGGAGACCCGATGACGAGAAAGGTGCAGGTGTACGACGGCTGTTCGCAACGGGACGTCAAAATCGTCATCGGCGACATGAATGCTCAGGTACGACGGGAGGTAATGTATAGCCCGGCAATCGGACCAAACAGCCTGCATGCCTGCATGTATCGAACGACAACGGCCAACGGTGCGTGAACTTTGCAGCCTCTCGGGGTATGGTAGTTCAAAGTACCTTTTTCCTCCGCAAGGATATCCACAAAGCCACCTGGAGATCACCTGACCAACACACAGAAAACCAAATCGATCACGTTCTAATCGACGGGAAATTCTTCTCCGAAATTATCAACGTCCGCACGTACCGCAGTGCGAATATAGATTTGGACCACTACCTAGTTGCAGTATGCATGCGCTCAAAACCCTCGACGGTGCATAACACCCATCGAAGTCGAACGCCGCGACCCAACATTGAGCAACTACGGGAAGCCGGAGTTGCCCAGAACTACGCGCAGCAGCTGGAAGTTGCACTACCCACGGAAGAGCAGCATGGCGCAGCTTCTCTTGAAGATGGCTGGAGGGGACATCCGTTCCGCCATAGGTAGTACTGCTGCAGCGGCTCTAGGTACTGCAATCCCGGACCGAAGAAATGACTGGTTTGACGGCGAATGCAAACTGTTAGTAGGGGAGAAGAATGCAGCACGGGCGAGAATGCTGCAACACCGCACGGGATTGAATGTGGAGCAATACAGACAAGCGCAAAACAGACAAAACTCGGTTTTCCGAAGGAAGAAGCGTCAGCAGGGAGACCGAGATCGCGAGGCGATGGGAAATCTGTATCGTGCAAACGACACACGCAAGTTCTACGAGAAGCTAAATAGTTCGCGCAGAGGCTACGTGCCGCAAGCTGATATGTGCAAGGACTTGGACGGTAACCTTCTCACAAACGAGTGCGAGGTGATTGAGAGGTGGAAGCAGTACTATGACGAGCACCTCAACGGTGAAGCAGCAGAAAACGAAGGTGACACAGCAACAGACCTTGGAGCACGCGCAGAAGACGACAGAAATTGAGGAGGAGATCGGTCGGCTGAAGAACAACAAAGCAACTGGTGTAAATCAACTACCAAGTGAGCTATTAAAATACGGTGGTGAAGCACTGGCTAGAGCGCTGTACTGGGTAATTGCCAAGATTTGGGACACCTTTCATCCACTCCTCTGTTACCGGAGGAGTGGATCGAAGGTGTCGTATGCCCAATCTACAAAAAGGGTGACAAGTTGGATTGCTGCAACTACATCACACTGCTGAGCGCCGCCTACAATGTACTATCCCAAATTTTCTGCCAACGCCTGTCACCATTTGCAAGAGAGTTCGTGGGGCAATACCAGGCGGGATTCATGGGTGCCCGTGGTAGACCAAATTTTCGCGATTCGGCAGGTTCTGCAGAAATGCCGCGAATACAACGTGCCCACACATCATTTGTTCATCGATTTCAAATCTGCATACGACACAATCGATCGAGATCAGCTATGGCAGATTATGCACGAGTACGGATTTCCGGATAAACTGACGCGATTGGTCAAGGCGACGATGGATCGAGTGGAACGATCTTCAGGAAGTCCATCCAGCTTCTTGGCTTCGCCGATGACATTGACATTATGGCACGGAACTTTGAGATGATGGCGGAAATGTACATCAGACTGAAGGCTGAAGCTAGACGGATTGGACTTGCCATCAGCGCATCAAAGACAAAATACATGAAAGGAAGAGGTTCTAGGGAAGACAATGTTAGCCTCCCA